GCTGGTGGTTGGTTGGTTGGGGGGTTGGGCGGATGGGCTGGTGGGTTGGGCGGATCGATGGGTGGGGTCCAGCTGTTAAGAAAATCAGAGGAAAGGTAGGGCTGGGGAGTATATGGGGAAAGTGAGGCCGAAAATTGAGAGAAAGGGAAGGTATTTTCACAGAATCGGACATCACGGCTTACAAAGAATTTGTTTGTCTCCAAATTGTAGAGTTTGTAACCTTTTTGGCCAGTAGGATATCCAACAAAAACACAACGTATGGCACGGGGATCAAATTTATGAATAAGATGGACAACAGTTGCATAACAGAGACAACCAAAGACTTTCAAGTGGTTGAGTGATGGGGGACGGTTGTATAACAATTCAAAAGGTGATTTATTGGAAAGTAATGGTGAAGGTAATCGGTTAATAAGATAGACAGCGGTCAAGACACATTCACCCCAGAAAATAATGGGTAAGTGAGACTGAAAAAGTAATGCACGTGCGACAGTGAGAATGTGGCGATGCTTGCGTTCGACGACTCCATTTTGTTGTGGAGTGTAAACACAAGTGCGCTGATATTCAATGCCATTATTTTGAAAAAAATCCCTCATGGAGAAAAATTCAGACCCGTTGTCTACCCGAATGGTTTTAATGTTGGCATGGAATTGAGAGTGGGCAAAAGCAACAAAAGATTTGAGAAGGTTTTGGGTTTCAGATTTATGATGCATCAAAAATATCCATGTGCACCTAGTAAAGTCATCCACAATGGTAAGGAAAAAACGTGCACCTGAATGTGTGGTAACTTTGTGCGGACCCCAAATATCACAATGTAACAAATCAAAAGGAGCTTTAGTTGATATTGAACTTAGAGGAAATGGAAGTCTTGTTTGTTTGGCCATGGGACAAACACTACAATTATTATCAAAAGAAATGGTATTGGAAGGCAATAATGAAGAAGCTAATCGAAGACGAGCAGGGGACGGGTGTCCAAGTCGCATGTGCCATAAATCAGATGAGAGTGAAACTTGATATGAGACAGGTGTCTTTTGCAACGGAGACATGTAATAGAGACCACCACGCTGTTTACCCGAGCCAATCATCTTCCCCGTAGCCAAATCCTGCAAGACACAGAAGGTAGGAAACAAAATGGCACAACAGTTTAGAGAAGTAGTGAGTTTGCTGGCAGACATAAGATTTAAGCGAAAAGATGGAACACACAAAACTTTGTCTAATGTGATATTTGAATTGAATGGTATAGTGCCAGTGGAAGTGATTGGGGCATGAGAACCAGTAGGTAAATTAACAATGGGCATTTGTGATGATTCAGTTTTGGTGAAAAGTGTGGGGTTATGAGTGATGTGATCAGTAACTCCGCTATCTAAAATCCAAGGTTTAGTGAACACAGAATTTATGGAGGGAATGGAAAAAGGAGCCAGACCTGCAGCATTTGCATAAGCATTGCTATTACCAGAGGAATGAGTTGAACTCATCATAGAAACGACATGTGCTAGTTGTTGGAGTTGCTCTGCAGAAAGCCCATGTAAAGGGTTGGATTGAGAGGCTGGCTGGGTTGTTGCATTGAAACCATATGACTGGGCCTCATGCGCTGGAGCTGTGTCTGCTGCGTGGGCAGTAGAAAAAGACCCACGCGAATTGTGCCCTTTAGACCCTTGACGTTGTTGCTTAGATTGATTGTGCTTACTGCCTTGAATTCCTGTGTCATTGGGAACCCATGTCCCATTTTTAAATTTACATCTATCCTCAGTGTGGCCTCTCCTATCACAATACTTGCAATGGAATTTGAGGGTCCGACATTCTTCAATTGTATGACCGTTTCTATCACAGTGCTCACAGTGTTTGTTCATCGAATTATTCGACATATTGTTTGATCGGCTGTGAATCGCAGCAGCAATGGAAAAATTCTCTGTTGGTCCTGATGTTATTTGTCGCTGTGTTTCGTCTTGAACGACGAGTGAATAGGCTTGGCGGACATTAGGCAATGGCGACATCATGAGGATATTGCCGCGAACACCGTTGTAGGTGTCGTTGAGGCCCATAAGGAATTGCATCATCCGATCTTCTTCCTTTTGTGTATTGTGTGCTTTCATCTCGTTACATGTGAGAGGTGTTTGATATGTTTCTAAGTCGTCCCAGAGATCCTTGAGTTTCTTGTAATAGTCTGAAACCGTCATGGTGCCTTGTGAGAGAGAGGCGATGGATTTCTGTATCTGATATATGGTTGGTGCATTCTTTTGTGAGAATTGATCTTTGAAATCTTGCCACACTTGATGGACAGTCTTGGCATGAACAACTGCTTTGGCCAGATCGGGTTCCACCGAGTGAGCAAGCCATGATAAAATCATACTATTGCATTGATTCCAGAGAGCATATTCAGCTGGTTGTTCAGTTTCTGAAGGAGGTTGAACGGATCCGTTGACAAAGCCAACTTTGTTCTTGGCCGTAAGAGCATGGAGCATGGATTTACTCCAAGATGGGTAATTGGTGCCGTTCAACTTTATGGGAACGAGCATGAGACCGGGGTGATCTGATTGATGAACAAAATATGGATGTGATGAATCCATACCAGGATTTTTGGTGTTGGTGCTTGAATTTTTGGAATTATTGTTTCTGGTTTCTGGTGGTGTTTGATCTGACATGGTGTTTGAAGGTGGCTAGGAAGTAGAAAGGGTCAAGTACCAGGATGAAGCTCTGATACCATCTTAAGAAAGTGAATGGTTGAATATTGTGTTGTATTCTCAACGTCAAATAGTACAATACATATATACAACAATAGCCTTCTATCAACCCTGCTGTTAAGGCTGTGAAGACGTGGTCCAATATTAGTGGGATTTGACCTACACTAATTTGGGCAAGTAAAGATATTACAATATTTACAAAGATATTTCCTAATATATTAATGTTTATTAATTTAAGTCAAATCATTCTTAAATTGAGGCAATTGCGTACAATTTGAGTCGAACTTAAACTTCGGAAAATATGGGAAGGACCCATGAAAAGACAAAGTTGAGTTGTTGAGTGCACAATGAAAAAGAGAGGTTCCAAGACCCACATCCACATGGATGATCTCATCATGATCCATTGCTAATTAGTAAGTCTCTCTCTAACTTGATGTGTTCTTATTCATCATTATTGGAGAGAGAGAGAAATGCTATGCCATTAGTCTATGTCTTATAATAAATATGTGATTATCTAATTTTATACTATATTCATCGATCTAACAGTTACAAATGCGTTCTCGTAACAATATGTATAATATAGAAAAATGCCTAAATGTTGATGAATTTATGGATTTTATTTGAATATGTATCTATCTCAACAAGATAGATCATAACTATTTAGAGACTTGAAGAGTAGTGACGGCTATACTCGAATGAAAGGCCAAAAGTAGGTACTTGTCCATTTTAGCTGGGCAATCACGAATTCAGATATGGGCCCTGTAATAATTCAAATTGACTTGGTCTCTTGTTCTTAAGAGAGAAGAAGAAGCCTAAAACTAGAACTCAAAACCTCTACGACAAACCAAGATCCCATAGGCTAAACTTCACAATGGATTGGGAGGGAGAAAGTGGAAAAAGAAAAAGAAAAGAAAAAGGAAAATGGATGTGGGGAGGATGTGGGGACATGTACTGAATGACCAGTCTTGCATCAAAAACATGTTGTACAAAAGTTGATGGCGCCTTTAAAACCACAATCATGTCATCACAGTTTAAGTGACCATACAATTAATTACGTACCCTGTGTTTATGGCTCGTAAATTTTATAACTAATAGCATCACGATGAGTGAAACTTCCATATGCTTTCGTTTTCGTTATCACATCTTTATATCTATCTTTTTATGTGACAGATTGATTACCTGAAAGAAGGAGATATGAAGAGAGGAAAACGAAACCGAGACAAGAAAGTATTTTTTAACGACAAGACATCAGGTCTACACGCACAATTAATTTGTCAATTTTATCTGACGAGAGAAATAGAAAGAGTGACAAATACGTGTATAAGAACATATGATGAATGTTTTCTGTATTGATCACTGTACAAAGATTGCAGTTATATAACAAAGCTTAAGGAATACAAAAATAAAGAAATCTCCAGGAATACAAAAGGAAAGAAATCTCCAAATCCTATGTCTAAGGTAATTACACAGAAAAGAAAAAGAATTGCTGTCCAAGTAAGACAGCTATACCACGTTCAATCAAAAGTCTTCCTTCTATTAAGCCTTGATTTCTAACATGCAAATTAATTTCTATTGTTCGAGTCCCAGTAATTGCAATACCTTGTGGCCAGCAACATACTTAGTTTCGCAAGTGGTGATTAGTTGAGGTACGCGCAAACTAGCCCGAACACCTCACGATACTTACCAAAAAATATATATATATATATACTAATGAACAAGCATGATATGAGACTAATCTTAAATTTGAATCCCTTAGATGCAAGACACTTGTAAGTTTATACTAAAGGTAGAATACGACTTTATGTTATCCTCATCCATGACTATATTTAGTCTAGAGGCATTTGTTTCCAAACTAACTAAAAACAAAAATGGCATGAAATCAAGCAACCCCAACAACAATATCCTAAAGCTAGTAATTTCATCAAACATGAAATTCATCTCCCTATAAATAGAATTGAGCTTGCAAGCAAGTATTACTTACAACTCCTAAACTCCAAGCAAGTTTGTAGTCCAAGAAATAAACCCTACAATTCAATATTAATTATCTCGTAATTTAATTTAGAGATATTTATTTTTACTTTGTTGGAGGATAAATTAAATATCGTGAACGAGAATTTGATACTGCTTTACTTGAAAAAAAAAGGAAAAAAAAAAAAAAAAACTTTATGTTTGCTCTCTACATCCAATCGTGCAACTGCAACCCATGATTTAGATGGCAAATCGGCAGAGGCTGTAATTTAAAGTAAAACTTTTAGTCTCCAAAACTTACCTATTCTTAGTTACACCCTCTCTCATTCATTTATCCATATCTAAATTAAATAAATAAAAAAATACCCCAATTTGGGTTTACGAAACTCTTCTTTTAGACAACACTCACACCCAATCAATCCCACACAGATACCCAAAAAACACAGAAACAAAGGAAAACAAAACTCAAAACACTTCCTCCAGCTTCCATGGCTTCCTCTTCCATCAAAGCCATCTCCCCCTTCAAAGCCTCCTCCTCACCTTCTACTCAGCCCCCGTCTTCCTCAAAACCCTCCCTCCTTTCCTTCCTCCACACCTCCTCCTCAAACCCCATCTCCTTAAAACTCTCCCATTCCCATTCCCATGCCCATAATTCTCATTCCCATTCTTTTCTCATAACCAACGTTTTAAAAACAGCTGACTCATCCGAGACCTCCGTTTCCAAGTCCCAAAACCTCAAGCCAACGTCTTCAGATTTAACCCCGACCATTTTGGTCTCCGAGAAGCTCGGAGAAGCCGGTCTTCAAGTCCTACGTGGCTTTGGCAACTTGGAGTGCGCATATAACCTCTCTCCTGAAGAGCTCTGCGCCAAGATCTCGACATGTGACGCTTTGATTGTTCGCAGCGGCACGAAGGTAACCAGGCAGGTTTTTGAGGCCGCCAAAGGGAGGTTGAAGGTGGTGGGAAGAGCTGGTGTTGGTATTGACAATGTGGATCTGCAAGCGGCCACGGAGTTCGGATGCCTGGTCGTTAATGCGCCCACGGCAAACACTGTGGCCGCCGCAGAGCATGGGATTGCTCTGCTCACTGCCATGTCACGGAATGTTGCACAGGCTGATGCTTCCATCAAAGCTGGTATAAACTATAAACAACATTTTTATTTTGGTTAATTATAATTTTTAAAATTTTTCCAGCCCACTTCCTCGTTTATGGGAACAAGACCTCAGGTAAGTTGGATATTTTTTTGGTCGCGAGATTTCAGATTGAGTTTACAACTCGTTTCATACTCACCCTTATATTTCCTAAGCGAAACTATATTTGGGTTCATTACAAAAATTTTACGCAAGAAAAAAGACCAAATTTTGTTACTTTTAGCTTCAAATTGGCTTAATATAAATTAGTGGCATATGCTTGGTCGTTGATAAATAAGAAATTTGCCCTTGGGATTGAGGATCTAAGCTTTAAGATATACTTGATGGGTCAATTTTCTCACTAGATGCAAAGTATGCTCTCTTGAGCAAAATAATTGATCTGGATGGTAAAAGTAATTGTTCTTTGCTATAACTATCTGAGTTTGCTGAGTTTGATGACACAAATCATGCCGGGGTCGAATTTCCGCTTTTGTACTGTTTTCAATTCATTGAATTGTACTAGTGATGGTTGTTGGCAAAAAAGGAAAAAGAACTGTAGTGGTGGTTGGGCATTGAATCTATGCGATCTGTCGCTTTCTGGGTAGAAACGTGATTGTCCTGCCTGAGCAAGTGAACAAAAATGATCAAATATATTTGACTGTGGGATGCTATTGAACTGACAAATACCAGAGGTGGTGGTGGGTGCACATGATTCGCATGTGAGCATAGCATTTTTTTTCTTTTTTGTCTTTTTCCAAGTAAAATCAGAATCAAATTGTGTCAGATATTCATCTAGCTAGTTATAATTTCTGAAAACGCACAGGGTTGCTTTTCAAGTGTTGGGTTTCTGATATGGGATCTTAGCAAATGAGACAGTGTTTAATTTGTGCTTGTCTCATGCTGTGTTAAATTAGAATGAACGCTAAGATTAAAATTTGATTGTTTTGGACCAAACATGGTGACTGGTGACTGGTGACTATTGGCTTTCCTTTGATGCTCTAGATAGACTGCTAACGTGCAGATAAGGCTAACTTAAATGATGGTCTTCTGCAGGAAAATGGCTGCGAAACAAGTACGTTGGTGTCTCTCTGGTTGGGAAGACATTAGCAGTAATGGGATTCGGAAAAGTTGGATCAGAAGTTGCTAGACGTGCAAAAGGCTTGGGAATGAATGTTATTTCACATGATCCATATGCCCCAGCTGACAGAGCCCGTGCCGTCGGTGTGGATTTGGTCTCTTTTGAGCAGGCCATTGCCACTGCAGATTTCATCTCACTGCATATGCCTCTCACCCCTGCCACAGCAAAGGTGTTCAATGATGAAACGTTTGCAAAGATGAAGAAGGGAGTTCGCATCATTAACGTTGCCAGGGGTGGCGTCATTGACGAAGATGCATTAGTGAGAGCCCTTGAAAGTGGAGTTGTTGCTCAGGTAATATATTTCTCTAATTTCAATTTATGTCAAGGTTGACCAAGTTAAACAAACATGGAAGCATAGGATGTTTGTTCAAAATCACTTCGATTCGCAGGGAGGGAAAAATACTGTCTATATGTTGTGTTCATGATCCACATTTCCTGATTTGTCTGCAGATGTTTTCAGCATTCTTTTCATCTATGCTGAATTTCTGTTATGTCTTTTATAATGTTTTGGAACAGGCTGCACTTGATGTGTTCACAGAGGAGCCTCCACCGAAAGATAGCAAGTTGGTGCAACATGAGAATGTCACTCTCACACCTCATCTTGGAGCTAGCACAAAGGAAGCACAGGTATCTTTAATTTTTCCTATACAAATTTTTGTTGAAAGATATCTGATTATTTCTTTAAGTAATAGAATTTTGGGTATGAAACCTGATATTTCAGGAAGGTGTAGCCATTGAAATAGCAGAGGCTGTAGTTGGAGCTTTGAAAGGGGAACTTTCTGCAACTGCCGTCAACGCTCCCATGGTCCCTCCTGAGGTACATGATGCACAATGTGCATCCTTCCTATCTCCAATAAATTATACTTATTCATAGCAGAAGATTAATTGGGCACAAAACATCCTTCACGTTCTCAGGTTCTGTCTGAGTTGTCTCCTTATGTTGTTCTAGCTGAGAAGCTTGGTAAGTTGGCTGTCCAACTAGTAGCGGGAGGGAATGGAATCACATCAGTGAGGGTGGTTTACAAATCAGCTCGGGACCCCGATGACTTGGACACCAGACTTCTCAGGGCCATGATCACTAAGGGCATCATCGAACCGATATCCGCCTCCTTCATCAATCTAGTCAATGCAGATTTCGTCGCGAAGCAGAAAGGCCTGCGCATAAGCGAGGAAAGGGTAGCTGTAGATTCATCTCCTGGGTTCCCTGTTGATTCAATCCAGGTGCAAATATACAATGTGGAGTCTAAGTTTGCAAGTTCTGTTTCGGAGAGTGGAAGCATAAGCATTGAGGGGAAAGTAAAGTATGGGGAGCCACATCTGACATGCTTGGGATCCTTTGGTGTGGATGTGAGCCTGGAAGGAAACCTCATTCTGTGCCGGCAAGTGGATCAACCCGGCATGATAGGCCGGGTGGGGAACATACTTGGGAATGATAATGTGAATGTGAGCTTTATGAGTGTGGGAAGAACAGTGCAGAAGAAGGCCTTAATGGCAATTGGTGTGGATGAGGAACCAAACAAAAGGACTTTGGAAAAAATAGGGAAGGTGCCTGATATTGAAGAGTTTGTGTTCCTCAATCTATAGTTTCTGGTATAGAATAATTCCCTTGGCTGCAGCTGTGAATTTATTATCAGATAGTGAAAAATTCTGCCAACCTGATATATGGCAGAAGTGAGGGTCTTGGAATTGCTGTTTAGTTAGTTTTTGCAATTCTTTACCTGCTTTCAGTGATTGTTATGGCCGCTGCCATTGTTGTGGTTGTTCCATTATTGCCTATGCTTGTGTAGTAGTTAGCAGAAGTAATTCTTCTGCTGGTTTGTGAACTTATTTGTATTCAGCTGTTGTATGAGCTTTCTTAAGTTTCCTTCCCTCCTAGTAATTCTACTGAAGTTGCTCTTTCAAAGTTTGAGGTGCATATTCTAAAAACTCAGTAATCGGTTAGCACTTGAGCCCCTCTTGTGTATAAGTGGATCTACACTTGCTCCGGGGTTTTATTTCTTAAAGACGAAGGAGGGAGAGAGCTAGGCTGGGGTGAAAAGGCAATAATGCCCTTGCACACACCCAGCAAGTCCGTGTTAACGGAATTTGACCAATTGGACTTGATTAACGGAATTTGACCAATTGGACTTGATTTGTTGATGGCGCGAAGTGTGATGAAGAAATTAGGAAAAATGTAATCACTAAAATCAAAATATAACATCATCCTACAGTATTACTGTAAGACCCTTACAAGTTGACATAGGCCATGTCATGATTTTGATGTTTTGCACCATGCCAAGACAAGCCAAAGGTGCATGGGAGGTGCACTCGTGAAGCAAGACAAGGTCGGAAGACATGTGTTTTGGGCTGAGACTTGGCAGCCAAGACATGACAGCAGCACAACGGACTAAGTAGATGGGGGTGTCATCTACATAGCATAGGCCTATAAATACCTTGTGAAGGTGTGTGGTTGAGATACCAAGTAATGTGGTAATCCAACTGAAAGTGAAAATTTGTAATCCTTTGCTGTTGTGAATAGAAGGTTGGGAGCTTTCTCGTATATGTGTGTGCACGAAAGTTTCCTGCGTGAGGCAAGTCTCACTTGTGTGCGTTGGTGTCACTTGTTCCGCTGCGTGTATTTTGAAGCCTCACGGGTTTGGAGGTGAAGAGAAGACTGACTTAGAAGGAGTCTAAGTGCCAAACAATGGTCGAAAAATTAAAGACGTTTTTCCACTCCTGTTACAATTACCAAGTTCATATATCATAACATAAATTATTAATATTATCTTCTATAGTGACACCGAAAATTTTCTTTGATGCGCTGAAAAATTTCAATTGATCGAGGCCGGAACAAAAAAAATTATACAAAAACGTAAAATATTATGAACCGCACGATCTTATCTTAGCCATGTGTCATCACACGGTTAAAGGATGAGGTAGGAGAAGTAGAGGTTCTACTTCCAACAGTTTCAGTTCTTCCCAATCCCAATTCGGCGATTCCCAATCGCGCTCGCGGCAAAACCCATTCCAAAATCTCGACTTGTACCTTCGAAAAATCTTAACTCTCTCTCTCTCTCTCTCTAGGGTTTTGGGTACAAATCGACATGGCCGGCGCTGGGATCCACCCATACCACCAGCAATGGCCCCAGGCTGCCGGTCCTCCGCCGCCTCCTCCGGTAGTCACCGCTGTCGCTCCTCCTCCTCCTCACTACCTCGTCGACAACCCTAACCGGCCCGCGACCGACGAGGTCCGGACCATTTTCATCACGGGTCTACCCGAGGATGTAAAGGAGAGAGAGATACAGAACCTGTTGAGGTGGTTGCCGGGTTACGAGGCCTCCCAGGTCAACCACAAAGGCGAGAAGCCTATGAGTTTTGCTCTCTTTTCCACTGCTCAGCAAGCCATTGCTGCCAAAGACGCCCTTCAGGTTAGCTTTGTATAATTATCTATGGTTTTCTTATGTTTTATCATTTTTAATTTTAAATGTTCAAGTTTTGAGTTTTTTTGGATTTTGCGGTTTAGGGAATGATTTTCGATTCGGAGTCCAAGGCGGTGCTGCACACGGAGATGGCAAAGAAGAATCTTTTTGTTAAAAGAGGTGAGGATGAGGTGCAATTTGTTACTGTTTTGAGTTGAATTGGAGACGTTATTTGTTTTCAATATGTTGTGAGGAAGCTAGTCCAGAAAATATGATCTACATTCATAGGGCATGTGGAGTGATCAATGGCTTTTATTTCAAACTCGATTTTGATTTTGGAAAAGGAGAGAAGTCTTGTTTTCAGTAATGTGTAAATATTGGGTTCTGTGACTTCTGTTTATCATTACCACACTATGGTCGTTCAGATCATAATGTCAATAGTTTCCAGTTAGCTGTTGGGAGTTTGAATGTAATGTGTTATGATGCGCTAATATGAGTTGGAAACTGTAGGAATCGTAGCTGATGCAAATGCTTATGATCAAAGTAAACGATTGCGAACTGGTGGTGACTACACGCAGGCTGGTTATAGCAGTCCATCTCCTTTTCATCCTCCTCCACCTCCTGTTTGGGGGCCACATGGGTAATTGAACATTTGCTCATCTAGTTTCCTGCCTGATTTGTTGTTATTCTTCTAAAAAGCGGTGTATATTAGAAGGGAAAATATGTACTCTGAAAAAAATAAAAATAATCAGTCGTTTCTGCTGCTCAATGGATCATATATTTCCCTTTCCAGATACATCACATTTTCTCATGTGAATGTTGCTTATGTGGCCCAGGTATATGGCTCCACCACCTCCTCCATATGATCCATATGGTGGTTATCCTGTTCCTCCAGTACCAATGCCCCCTTCTGCTCCTGTACCAGCACCTAGTAGTTATGTACCTGTTCTGGTAATCCACTGTGCCATATGTTTATTCATATTATTGTACTAAAAATTCAAAGAATTTTTCTTAGTTAGTGTTAGTGTTATGTAGCTTATTTTGTTTGTGTTTCCTAATTTCTTTCTTCATGTTTGCTGTAATTTTGTTGTTTCAGATCTGTCAAAATTTATTTATTTATATTTTTATTTATTTATTTATTCTGAATGTTGGCTTTTCATGATGAGTGATGTGGTAGGAAGCCCATAATTTGTTATTTTTTTTTGTGATGCTTCTTGTGATTCCTGCAGAATACAAAAGATAACCCACCGTGCAATACCTTATTTATTGGCAATCTTGGAGAGAGCATTAATGAGGAAGAACTGAGGGGCCTTTTCAACTCGTATGAACATCTCATCCCTGCTTATCTTGCAATGTGTTTCATCTCTTTGTTTCACAGTAAAGATGTCCACTAAATTGGATAATCTTTTGTTTATTTCATGATTTTTGGTCTTGCAGACAACCTGGATTTAAGCAAATGAAGGTCTTGAGACAAGAAAGGCATACTGTTTGCTTCATTGAGTTTGAAGTGAGTAATGGTTATTCAGCAGTTATGCATTGGTCATTAACCTTTCATGTTGAGATATGTATTTTGAGTACCTGCCCTTTTTCTATATTTTCTAAAAGGATTTTCCACATAATATGTGCAGGATGTAAACAGTGCCTCCAATGTACACCACAGTTTGCAGGGTGCTGTTATCCCCAGTTCGGGCTCTGTAGGCATGAGAATACAATATCCTTTTAAAGTTTTGTTATGGCTGATCTTTTGTTTTTTCTTTTTGAACTTTTATATATTAATTGCACTCTGCAAGCACTGGTTAGCGTAGTTACAATGTGTGCTACCTGGGTACTAGACTCTCTTGAAGGCACCGCCCTGACTAGTTGCTAAATGCTAATCACTCAAGTGACCTTTAACCATTTCAGAACATTGTTATCTAGGATGAATTTTTTTTTTCGGGTAAGAAACAGAACCATTCATTAGAAATAAAGGTGAAGCGGTGCAAAATTAGTGAATAAGGAGTGCACTACTGGAAGAAAACTAAATGTGCAACCTACAGAAAGAATTCAATCCTCGGAAAGTAGAACTACAAGTGCTTTCCAATCTTACAAAATAACAGAGAAAGATAACTCCCATCACATTCTCAAATACCCTACCTTTCAACCCATCAAAACCCAGAACGTTGCCATCGTAGGTTATTAAATCTAATGTTGGCGAGTCCAATGCATCAGGTTCTTGCTTTTCATTTATGTGGTATTTGTTGGAACAGAAGTAGCTTTAATTTTTCATCTTGGTTCCCAGATGTATGGTATTTCTGGTTTAGTGGCGTGCAAAAGTCATCATGTATGCTCACTTACTTTATAGTCTCGTGAACTGCATTTGCTGTTTGTCGTGTGTGCGATTTCTTAATGTTAACCTTAGAGATATTTATGTAAAGGGTTTGCATGTAGAGCACGGTGATATTTCTTTTTTCTCTGGTATACCATAGATATATCTAATTTGCTAATATATGAATGGCTAATTGGTGTTCTCAACAAGATTTATTTTCTCTTAACAGTTCCAAATATATAGTCTGATCCACTTCCCTGGATGATAAATATATGTTGCTTGTAACTTGTCCATGTTCCTTTTTATGATTCGTAATTTATGTGTTTTTCCTTGACCTATAAATACATATTCGAAGAACCCATTTGGGAAAAGGAAGGATGGGAACCACCCTGGTGCTGTCCCTGCTGCCAATGGAGCTCCACCGGCTATGACATACCAGTAGCTTGAAGGGGATGTACTCTGTTTTTTATGCTACCGACAAATACAACCAACCACATGATAGGATGCATCTTGCAGCTGTTGCATGCATCCATTTCATCCTCACGTCATCAGCATTAGCATCTCTCCTCATGTGAACGAATGCACATAGTGGCATCATGAACATAACATTTGTCCATGTTATAACGTATTTGTGACATGCATTTTTCAGAAGTATGTGTTAATGCCTGGATATTAGGGGCATAAATATTGTTATCATCTGTAGGATGAGTGGTGCATGGGTCTGCAGATCTGTTGGATTGTGTTTGTTTTGCTTCATATTAAATTGATGCACATCAAAATTAGGAATGGCCATCTATTTAGGCATCTTTCTATCGTACATTTTTTTTTGACATAGGTTTGAGTAATCACTTATATCAACAGTTCATCTGAAGGTGGTTCCCGGTTCTCTGTCATGACATAACTTTTTTAGGATGTGGAAACTTAGGAAATCACACCATTATCATGCTTTCCTTTCCATAACCATTGTCATTTCCATCACCACGACATACTATAATCTTAGATTTGTCATAGGTCATCGTTTAAGCGAGGTGCTAGTAATGCTGTTTTTAACATTCAAGATGTTGGACGCATAAATTTTGAGAAGATGTTGGGTATTATATGCTGTGTGGTTTATATACAGGATTTTCCAATACAAAATGACAAAGCTCTATTCATATGAGGAGGTCAGGTGTGCAGCTGCTCTTTTGTTTCAGGTAATATTACTTCACTAGGCAAGGTTACTGTCAGACACACCTTATGTATGGAGGTTTTGATTCACCATCATCAAGCCGCCTAAGGATTAATAAATTTTTGACATTTATCAACAAGAGGAATTTGGAAACGGATCATGACAATACTTTGGTATTAGAAGTTTGAAGCAAAATATGATTGAACTATTCATGGGTCCTTGGGGTGACATTAATTGCTTTGTAAGTGAAATGAAATATAGGTTGTGAATAATAATTAACTTGGAAAGTGAAAATAAAAAGAAAAACATTTTGAAATAGTTTTGCAATTCTTGGTTCACTTTCTGCATTCCCTATGGTTCCCTTTATCTTGGACATAGCCTTTGATTTGTCTCTTTGCTTTTGCAAATATTCTTCTGCACTTCTGTATGTGTTTGTTAGATGTTCACGAAATAGAGTGAAGGGGTGTTATTTTTCTTGAAAAAACAGTGGGATTGTTGCTCAATTGGCAATACACGAAACATTGGTTAAGGAAAAATAAGGATACTCTTTTGCGTTCATAAGATTCCATGAAAAGTTGCAAAATTACAATCCTATCTTATGCACGAGATGTATGAAATCTAGATTGTGTTTTCAAAAAAAATAAAAATAAAAAAGCTTAATCCAATAAACCACCTTTGCCATTTAAAACAAACTTTTCTATCTCACCTACTATAATTTTCTCTTTCCACTTGGAAGTCTTAATCTCAACAACCAATGGTATAAAAAATAAAAATAAATTAGTCACTTGGTATTTTATTTTTAAACCAATTTTTTGAAAATTGAAGTTCAATCTTGACTTTCCATCTTCAAAGAATAAACAATTGGTGCGGAAGTTCCTTTCCATCTTCAAAGAATAAACAAAAGAGGCTCGTTGTTTTGTCATTTTACAGAAAAAATAAATCTTTTCTGATGTCATATAAGCTCTTCTTCTTATCTAAATGGAGCTTTATTTTAAATAATCTCATCTCATGAGATGTGTATATACCATTTATTTCGCAGCATTAGTGGAAAGGTGGGTCAAACTCTCCCTCTACCCCACAAGTGTACGCGGGTTCGATTCACGTAGGAGACAATCTTAAGACAACCCAATATAATACTCCTCCTATCCTCCCTAGCGAATGAAAAGAAAAAAGAAAAAAAAAAAGATGAAGCACAAACTGAGAATTCAATTACAAGGAAATAATGCATTAAATTTAGTTTTTCAATGTGTTTTCCTTATGTACATCAAAGGATAAAATTGACATAACAAAAAAAGTAATGTCAAAAGACTTACATCTAAGATAAAAAACGAGTGGACTAAATTCAATGATAACGAATCGTTTTGAACCTAGATCTAAGAGGCCCTATTTATTTCCCAAATATAATTTAAAACATGATCTGTCAACGTACAATATTAAAATGGAATACTTGTGCTATCTATGAAATTTATGTTTCTTTTAAACCACCCTTCTTTTGGATTACCCAACCCATTCACCAAAATAAAAATAAAAATAACCCTGGTTTTCTCCTTTCTTGGGAGTTGCTTGCTTCCCACTACAAATAAGGGCCCACTGACTTACACCAAATAGATGCTGGGGGCATATAATCCAATACAAATATATTAGTTATATGGGTCAACCTCAGCAACACAATAAAAGTCTGCTCTCAACCTCAGCAACACAATAAAGTCTGCTCTGAACCTCAACAACACAATAAAAGTCTGCTCCAATATCTTATTGAAGCACAAACTGAGAAGCCAACCCAACATACCCACTCTCTCTCGCACTACATTTTCCACTTTGCTTCCAACTCATTTCAGACTTTGCAAAGGCAAGTTCAATCTGCATGCTGGGTCTTCTTGAGAGCTTACAGCAGCTGGCTTTGCATTGCTGACAGTAAAGCTCATATCTTTACCGAGTGATTTTCTTCAACTCATTAGAAAGCATGCAGCTTTATCTGTTCAATTTGTTGCTGTTGTTGTTGTGCTTCTCTGTGTCCGTATCCACTGTATCTAGTTTGAACTCTGATGGGGTGCCTTTGTTGTCACTCTTCAAGCGTTGGACCTCTGTCCCTGCTTCCATATCCTCAAGCTGGAATGCTTCTGATTCCACTCCCTGCCAATGGGTTGGGATAGAATGTGACAATGACCACAATGTGGTTTCCCTGAAGCTCACTGGTTATGGAATTTCTGGTCAATTGGGACTTGAAATTAGCAGATTTAGGTACTTGAAGATTCTTGATTTGAGTGTTAACAAATTTTTTGGCAAAATTCCAACAGAATTGGCCAATTGTAGTCTTCTTGAAAACTTGGACTTGTATGAAAATGGCTTTTCTGGTGAAATTCCTGAATCCTTGTTTGCAATTCCTACCTTAGCTTATGTACATCTGTATGGTAACCGTTTGAATGGTTCCATCCCTGGAAATGTTGGGAATCTGAGTGAGCTTGTGCATTTGGATTTATATGAGAATCAGTTTTCAGAAGTGATTCCTTCATCCATTGGAAACTGTCGTAAATTGGAGGACTTGTATTTGGCTGAGAACCAGTTGATAGGAGAACTTCCTAAGAGTCTGAACAAGCTTGAGAACCTGGTATATCTAGATGTGGCTAACAATAGTCTTGAGGGTAGCATCCCTTTGGGTTCAGGTACTTGCAAGAATTTAATTTACTTGGATTTGTCATACAATAAGTTTAGTGGAGGTATTCCACCAGGACTTTTAAATTGTAGTAATTTAACACATTTTTTTTTGCTGTGGGTACCAATTTAGAGGGGACTATTCCATCTTCCTTTGGCCAACTCAAGTACCTTTCAATCCTATACCTTCCTCTAAATCATTTGTCTGGTAAAATACCTCATGAACTTGGCAAGTGTGAATCCTTGAAGGAATTACACTTGTATACAAACCAACTAGTGGGAGAAATTCCTGGTGAATTGGGGATGTTGACTCAATTAGAGGACCTTAAATTATTTGAGAACCGGTTAACTGGTGAAATTCCAGTTAGCATATGGAAGATTCAAAGTCTTCAACATATCCTTGTGTACAATAATAGCCTCACTGGGGAATTGCCTGTAGTGATGACTGAGTTGAAGCAGCTAAAAAATATATCATTGTTCAACAACCTGTTTTTTGGAGTTATACCTCAAACTTTGGGGATTAACAGCAGTTTGTGGCTGTTAGATTTTACCAATAATAAGTTCACTGGTAAAATCCCTCCAAGTCTTTGCCATGGAAAGCAGTTATGGAAGTTGAATCTTGGTTTCCATCGAATTCAAGGCACCATACCTTCTGATGTTGGAAATTGCTCTAGTCTAAGCAGGTTGAAACTGGGACACAATAACCTCATTGGGGTTCTACCACAGTTTGCAAAAAATTCAAGACTTTTATATATGGACATCAGCAACAATGAGATTAGTGGAGAAATCCCATCCATCTTGGGAAACTGTAGCAATCTCACAAACATCAATTTGTCCATAAACAAGTTAACAGGTGGTATGTGTTAGAGTTTGTATAGGAAAATACACTTGCATTTAGTCCCACATTGGAAGAGAGTAGTTTTCCTCCCTAGTTTATAAGCACCAACACATTAGAATTACTAAATAGAGTATGGGCCTAGTGGAGGCAAACTTGAGCCTCAACATGGTTTGAGCTTGGATTATATATATATATTTGTGTAATAAATATATATATATAATTAATTGTCAAAAGATGGGCCTTGGGCCTTGGGGCTCTGTTGATTTAATTAATAATTTATTTTTATTAATTGAAAATTCGGTTTTTTCAGATAAAACCAAAATCTGAAATTCGAATACAATCAAACCAGACATATACCTTTGAACTGCATCATCATTCTCACATTTTACACTTCCTGAGAGAATTCATACCACTGTTCGCCAGAAATCAAAGCCACTATGCTTAGGCTTAGATTTAAGATAGTTTAATCTACAAGCACAAAGGGTAGAGGAGAAATACTGTCTAAAGGACACTGCAAATTTGCAGGACTCTATCTACAATTCAAGTTAGTATTCTACAATCTATATTATTGTTGTATTGACTCAATTATATCTATATAAAATATATTCGTTGGTTTTTATTATTCTGTTGTTTTGGTTTTATACTGATTGGTCTACAACAGTATACCCCAGGAGCTAGGGAATCTTGAAGAACTTCGTTCTTTGATTCTTTTCGAGAACAATTTGGTTGGTCCTCTACCTCCTCAGCTTTCAAAGTGTACCAAAATGGATAAGTTTGATGTGGGATCAAATTTGTTGAATGGTTCCATTCCATCGAGTTTGAGAAGTTGGACAGATTTATCAACATTGATTTTAAGTGACAACAGTTTTACTGGAGAAATTCCACGTTTCTTCGCAGAGTTTGAAAAACTTATAGAGCTACGACTTGGTGGAAATTTGTTTGCAGGTGCGATTCCCTCATCAATCGGAGCATTGGTTAGTCTATCTTATGCATTGAATCTTAGCAATAATGCATTGACAGGTCGGATTCCTTCAGAGCTTGGGAAGCTGACATGCCTACAACAACTCGATCTATCTCATAACAATTTGACAGGGACTTTAAAAGCTCTTGATCATATGATTTCATTGACTGAGGTGGATGTTTCAGACAATAACTTCACAGGTTCAGTACCAGAGATGTTGATGAAGCTGTTGAACTCATCTTCATTATCATTTTTGGACAATCCCTACCTATGTGTCAGTTACCTTCCATTATGTGGCTCAACTTGTGGAAGAAACAACAGTTTTAAGCTGTGCAACCGTCAATTAAGCAATCATAAAGGCCTTAGTAAAGTGGAAATTGCATTTACAGCCCTGGGGTCTTCATTATTCATTGTTTTTGTGCTTTATGGACTGGTTTATATGTTCCTCTTACGCAAAAAGACCGAGCAGGAAGTTGAGGTCTCTGCTCAAGACATGCTGTCTTCCCTACTCAAGGAAGTAATGGAGGCCACAGAAAATCTTAATGATCAATATATCATTGGGAAAGGAGCCCATGGAACTGTCTATAAGGCCTCTTTGGCTCCAAACAAAGATTATGCTGTCAAGAAGCTTGTATTTGCAGGGCACGAAGGAACGCGTTCAAGCATGGTTAGAGAAATTCAAACCCTGGGGATGATAAGGCATCGAAATCTA